CTTAACCGTAAGAGGACGTCGCATCAATGATGAAGAATTCAGGAAGATAAATCTAGAAAACCAAATAGGATTTTGGGGAGAGGAAAGTGAAGCACGGACAATTTTCTCAGAGGTATGGCTAAGGAGCACAATAAGGTGAGTGGAATTAATAACATAAACATGGAAGAAACACAATCTTAAACATGTGCTGCCTAAGTGAAATGGTCGTTAATTTCACTTACTCTCTAATACCCTTGAGAAAGGTCTGAATCCATCTCCTACCACCAGCTATGGGTTAAAATCAGTTTTAAAATCAGCGTTATTCTAGCTAAATTGTTAATGCAATATTCACTCACATAAAGAGACTTATTCTTACAATCCAAATTACGTTCCGGTCTTAAATAGCCCACAAGAGATTGGTAAGCCGTAAAAATCAAATCAATCAAGAGCAAGTGCAAGCCTTAAGTAGCAACTATATCAAATATCAAAGCCGTGCATTCTGCGCTGTGTGAAAATCTTTTGCAAGATGATAGCGTCTGTTTGTGCAAACAAAGAAAATTTGTGTAATTATTTTGGCACGATGACTGACTGAATGTTTGGTTTTTTTCTTGTAGATCCAAGTTTTAAAATATTTTGGCAAACATGGATAAACCTTCCTGTAATAAGAGAGCGGGTCAAAAGCGATTTTTCTTATGACACGGCTATTATTTTAACTACTTTCACTCCCCCGGCAATGTTTATTGTCTTAAAAAGCGATGATTAGAATTGGAATAAAATTTAAACTGAACATATGAAAGTGAATTTCTACATTTTCTTTGTTCTTGAGAATTGTGGAAAAAGGTTCAGGTGGGAGGGGTAAGGTACTTACTTATATGGGTTTGTTGTTCTGGTTGACTAAAAGCAATATTTATTCTGTTAAATATACAGAAATGTGGCACAAGGCCAAAAATGGGGATTGGGGAAAAGAACGATCTTCTTCTGTCTTAACGATAACTTACACTGACTCAAATATACAAACAATATTCTTTACACCAAAACAACACATTCTTACGTAACTTTCTTACTACATCCACCATAATACCTCATTGTCTCTATGAAGATACTAACTAGACCCCATATTTACAATTCATTGTCTGTGGGGGGAGGGGAATAAAACAACAATTCTAAAAGCTAGCACCAATGAGTATTTACAATATGAATATAAAACTATTTACAAGAAACTAAAGAAAATGATATTAGTAATAACCCCCTCTACACACACACAATCACTAAATGTAGCAGAAATATCAGTTAAATGGCCGACTAAAAGATGTTACCTTTATTTTTACTAATTTTTTTATAGTTACAATGTCTCGTGACTTGTTATCACGTGATCACTGAAGTATAAAGGAATTTTTTTTTTCTTCTTTTTTTTAACCTTTTATTATACTACGCAAGTTATCTGACGAAGAAGCTATGTGGAGGAAGTAGATTTTTTTTTTTTTCGTAACTTAAGGTAAGTACCTTTGCTTATTTCCACGGCCTGCACAGTCACGGAATTTTTCTTGGGTTTTGATTTTCTTGACAGAATTGAGAACAAAAATAATAGACACTATTCATTTCCTAGATTGTTTATTTACACTATTTATTATATTATTTAATTGAAATGTTTGGCAAAACATCGGCTAATTGAAAATCGATTGAAACTTTATAAAATGGTAAATAATATAGATTTCTTTTGGCTTTAATAATTTAGTAAATGTTTATAAATTTGCGAATAAAAATTGTTTTCATATTTATATTTTTATAAATTGGTAAATGATAAATATTGCATTGCATTAGTTTTAATGGCATTACTTTTTAAAATGTTCTAAATATAAAATTATTCTTGTTATATTCTTATATAAAAATATTCGACAGTGTAAACGACCCCCCCCCCGACGGAGTAAACTTTATCTACGTAATACTACATCTTGAAACAAGAGGAAGAAAAGAGAAAGAGAGGAGATATGTTTGTTTTGTTTTGTTTTTTATAGACTTAAACAGAGCCGCCTCATGGACGTTCAGCAAAGCCAAGTGAGTAACCCAAATATTTCACAAACTGTTTTTCTTAACATCTTAATCTGAGATTTTTGTAAAAAGAAACAATAAAAAGAAACAATAAGAATTAAATAACACCCGAATATAAATGTTTGGTGATTTTCTAAACTTTCAGACCCAATGGAGTGACAGGGTGTAATCCTGTTCTATTTAGATTATGTCATTTGCAGTGGTGTGCAGTAATATGAATCTATCTTCGGGGTATATGACGAAATTTGTTTGACCTTGAAAAATATTGCATCATCCGTGATTGCATCAGAATTTTATCGCGCCCAGACATGATTGTCTCGACTGTCGATTAGTTGTCCTACGGCCATTGTCTGCGATGAACGTTACTCCAAAGAAGTGTACGAAAATTATAACGCTACATAAACACAATAGCAAGCCTTACCAGCGAGCAAATCAAAATACTATAGATTGGCCTGGAAACTCTCCTGATTTAAATCCACTCGAGAATAAATGGTCAATCTGCAAGGAACGACTTCGTGGAATGGATATACAAAGTACTAACATGAGCACCGGGTCATCTTTCATTGGAAAAATATGAGAAAAAGTAAATAATAACGGAATTTTAGGGAGTGGAGGTGCTAATCCTAAGTCCAACTGGTTTTGAATTCTGAGTTGTTCTTCTTTCAGACTGATTGTCAACTAAAGCTAATTATTAGCAATTATCAGAAGAGTCCTGGGTGTGATGATAAACTACACCTGCAGCAAGGCCTCTGATCGGGAGATTGGACGTTTTGAGTAACATAGAACCTCTTAATTGCTGTTGGTCACAGGTCCACCTTTACCCGGGGTGGCACCACCTGTTAAGTCCCCGGTTATCGACAAATAGTAAACCCCCAAATAAAAATAAAAATACTAGGAAAGTATAAAAATACATCTTTATAGTAAAAGTACTAGCAATACATTTTTAGAAAAACAGTTACTAACAATGCTTTTTTGTAGTGAAATTACCAGCAATACATGTTTATTAAAAAATGACCACAATGTATTTTCATAGTAAAATGACCAACAATGTATTTTCATAGTAAAAAGACCAATAATGCAACAAAAAATTAGCAATACATTTTTATGATCTACAAAATATCTATCTAAAAAAATGTTTGCTATGAAAGTATAAAATGATGTACAAAATATATTTAGTTGAAGCCATAAAATTGTATACAAAATATTTAGATTTCCGCATCAAATAACCCATTGACGTTAATATGCCGCTAAACAAAATCAACCAATCAAAATCAGTCTTCTCTGAAGCGAGAACATCTTGGTTCATAGCTTTTGTGTGAAAGCGAATGCAGTGTCCTGTGCTTTTATATTGATATACTATATAAAATTAACTGTAGTAAGCGATAAAAAAATTAACGTTTGGATTACAGTGTATAATGTACAGTGCTGTTCGATAAAAGTGAGTCACCTGTTTTTTTTTTAATTTTTTCGCCTATTGTTTTGGGGGTCAAACTAATTTTTAATCTTACTAATATAAAAACCCCTTCCCGACCACCTAGTAAAAAAAGTTTACTTACCCTAAGGTATTCTATTGATAATTATAATTTTGGATATAAATAAGATTTAGGGAAAAACTCTGTGCAAAAAAAGTGACCCACTTATTTCCTGCAACTAGTAATCAATAGAAACATAACCGAACAGCTTTAAATAAAGAATAATAGAGGTATACTTTATTTATAATAGGTTATATTGTTCGAAATATTTAATAATCTATGGGTCCTCCTTTATTTTGAATAACCTTTTCAACCCTTTTTGGCATTGACTTGATTAGGTTCTGGAAAATTTCATCTCTAAGCATTGAATTCCATTCGGATATGAAATTCACAATCAAATCCTCTCTGTTTCTCAACTGCTTTCTCGAGAGCTTGTACTTTATAATGCTCCATAATTTTTCTATGGGGTTGAGGTCAGGAGTTTGGGGCGGCCATGTCATAACACTCACCTGCTTCTCATCAAAGTATTCCTTCATCAATTTTGATTTGTGACAGGGAGCGTTATCCTGCATAAAAATGGGCTTGGTGGGGTCGATTTGCACCCTTTCAGCAGAAGGGAGCAGACAAGACTCTAAAAATTCTCTTGTACTGCTCACTCCTGAGGGTCTTTTCAATAGGTTTTAAGAAACCAGTTCCATGAAAAGAAAAGCATCCCCAGAACATTATACTGAACGGGTTCTTGACAGTACTTACTGCTAAATTCAAAGAGCTTTCAAAGCTTCTTCTTCGGACTTTAGATCGCTTATCCTTTGAATTTAGCTCAATTTTCGTTTCATCGGAAAAGAGAACATTTAGTAAAAAAAATCAGGTGAGTCACTTTTATCGAACAGCACTGTAGGTTACAAGAGATGATACATTTTAATCATTGAAGTTCACCATGAAGCATAACAGATAAGGTAATTTTTAAAAAATATTTTAATATGGTAAAGACAATATGACTCCGAATCTTGAAAATGACGTTTCCTCTCTTTTTCCATGTGCTTTAATTTAATTACAATCACGAGAACTGCAACCCATCGGGGTCGCAGGGGCACTACACGTACTGCAGCCGCACTAGAAGTGGTGTGTCTTGGGCAAGGTAGCCTGACGAAAACCAACACTCTCCAGGCTGATGTTAATTCAGAGATTTCTTTCTCCTAGATTGGTTGTTAAATAATTACGATCACGAGCCCTGTAACCCCTGAGGGTCGTAGAGGTACTGCAGTCGTAACAGCGGTTATGTGTCTTGTATGTTGTAATAAATATGGCGACAAAGATGAGGACAATAGTCCGAATAATGTAAATAGTGTACATAACATCTCATCTCAGAAATATAGACAGATACTGAAAGGCCGAAACGTTGTAATAAATATGGCGACAAAGATGAGGACAATAGTCCGAATAATGTAAATAGTGTACATAACATCTCATCTCAGAAATATAGACAGATACTGAAATGCC